AGGAGAAAATAAAGTTTCATGGAGACATCAGGTCAGGCTGGAAGCCCCAGTATTAGCTCCCTACACTATAGCCATTTGCTGCAAAGCAATCAGAAATACTGAACTCCTACAGGCCACACAGTTATGGTAAGCTTACACATATACTCTTTATCTCTGAAAATCCTATTCCTGCATGGAAAGGAAATTTCCAGCATGCTACCACATTCAGGACAATTTTTAAAGAAGCAAATAAACTTGGAGAACTTAAAAGGACAAATGCTCTCCTGCATCAAGCTGCCTTATTAAAGCCTCACCTCCCCTCCCCCCAACCACCATAGACTTGCAAGGGGGTCTAGCTGGATGTCCACCTTTAAAGAGCCTATGATCCCACCCCTCACCACCTCCACCAATCACAGCCCATAGTCTGCTTTCCTTTGGCTCTGGGGAAGGTGGTCTGGGTTTTCTCCAGGTGTCCCACATAAGACTCTCAGAGGAGGAGCATAAAAGGAGCAGACAAACACTTGCCTGGTTGCTTTGAAGGGATGATGCTGATGTGATTTAAGAGAGGATGGGGAGACTTCTCCTTAACTCTGTTTCAGGGGTTTCTAAGGTGCCTAGCAGCTTGGGATGTGTGCACTGGCTTTCACATTGACTTATTTCAGGGATTATCCAATGCATTCCTGGGCACCTGGCTGAAATTAGGCAGCAGAGTCTGAAGCTAATCCTTCCTACCCCATGTTATTTGAGGAGGCTAAAGGGCCATCTTTCCCAGATGGTTTTGCCGCCTCTGGGTGTGTTTCATCACCAATACCATTGTAATAGTGTAAAAAAGGACAGAGGCTTGGCAATGCATCCTTGAGCCTGCTATGATGTGGTGGTTAGTATAAATGCAAGAGGATGTGGGTCCTATCTTTACCAGCCTCTCTCTTGCTGTGAAGCACCTTAATCTTATGGAAGCACTTACATCTGGCCAGACTGCAAACCTCCTTCCCCTTTTTCACGCTGTGAGCAAATACTCCCACAAGCAGTCCCATTGACATAAATGGGGTACTTCCACAAGGAACTGCTTTCTCTTTTGTGAATAGAGGCCATATTATACTATGAGCAAGGGGGACAGGATTTGGCCCTGGGGGCATTGTTCTTGCTTGGCGTTCTTGCTTTTCTAATTTCCTGATAAGAGGCCAGGTGTAGGAGTTATGAAATGTAGCCTGATAATGCAGTAGGTGAATGGGGTGTTTTATTATATTGAGTGCCAACAGGACAATGCTATAACTCCATTATTTGAGATGCATTAACAGACGCACATGCACGTAGACACAAAATGCTAATGTTGCCAGAATGAAGGTGATGAGCCACAAAATGACGATGTAGGACAAAAGATAGGGGAGGAGATAGCAAAGAGACTGGTAGGAGGGTGTGTGTATTGGGGCTGGGGGAGGTAGGTTTAGGAGGAATCCCACCAGAAGTTGAGAGGGGAGGTTTTGCATATTGTGAATAACAAGATAGGTCTGTGTGGAAGGCCAGGTTAGTTCTTACCCATTTCTAGAACTCATAATCCTAGAATGGTCGAAAATGAGGGTTGGAAGGGACTTAAGGTCATCAGATCCAACCCCCTGCTCTAACCAGGACCATCCCCAACTACATCATCCCAACCATGGGTTTGTCTAGCCAGGTCTTGAAAATCTCCAAGGATGGAGAGCCCACAACTTCTTTGGGTAACCTGTTGCAATGCTTTACTATGCTCCTAGTGAGAGAGTTTTTCCTAATATCCAACCTCAACTTCCCCTGCGGCAACTTGAGACCGCTGCTTCTTATGCTGTCATCTGCCACCACTGAGAACAGTCCAGCTCCATCCTCTTTCGAACCCCCCTTCAGATAGTTGAAGGCTGTTATTAAATCCCCTTTCAATCTTCTCTTCCCTAGACTAAATAAGCCCAGTCCCCTCAGCCGCTCCTCATCAGTCATATGCCCCCACCCCAACCATTTTCATGGTCCTCTGCTGGACTCTCTTCAATTTATCCACATCCATTTTGCCATGGGGGGCCCAGAACTGGACACAGGACTCCAAATGTAGCTCACCAAAGGATCATGTCATGAGAAATGGAGCAAGAGGAAGAGGCTCTTTGCTCGTGTGAGCTGATCTGCCGGAGCCAGCCAACATGGGGACAGCTAGACTCTCTCTCCCTAGCCCAGCTTTAGGTTTTCTGATCAAATGCACGGAGCTGTCATTACTGTGTCGGGGTGGCCATTAATAAGTATTGTAACGCTGCTACCTAATGTGTAGTTAGTGTCATGTTAGTGTTTCAGAGCATTCATTTAAAGCAACTAACTGCTATTGGCCTTCGGATTTAATAAGGGTATTTGGGCTGAATTGCTGGTCATTCAAATTCCAACATTGTGATCCAATGGAGGCTGTAAAAACAGGACTTGCATTGACCCCTGAACCCTAGGCAGTCATTTTTTGGCCTATGCACAGGGTATAATCCAGAGCACTATTTGACCCTGAATGAATCGCCAAACCTTGCAGGAGCTGGATGAAACCGCTTGCAGTAAAGCACGACTCTCTCTAGAGGACATTTTGACAATGGTTTGGAGAGTTTTACTTTAGTGAAACCAAAGGGAAATGTCTGTGAGTGCCTGAGTTTGTCAGCTGCAGCACGGCTGTTTAACATTTAGCCCTCAGCAGTTCCTATCGCTTTATAGATGTTACCACAGGAAAGAGCTCGTCGCCTACCACGTCATTCACGGCACACCACAGCCCCATCCTAGCAGGGAAGATACCAGAATTTCAGGCCATCACGCTGGTGAGACCCGCGGCGTTTGACACTCTTGCAAGATTCGTTTTCACGCTGTTGGAGCCTTTTCACGTTTGAAAATGATGACTTCTCTTCGAATGAGGCAGACACCTTTTCTTGTGGTTTCAGCCGAAAGCATTACAGCAAGCTGAACGGCTTGGCACTGGTTCAGACGTGTTCCCCGTACACTCGCTCTGACGGTCTGCAGCTCGGCTCCTTGGGGCTGTTTGAGGGGACATTTCGGAGCACCATTTCCCTGGCCACAGAGGGGTCAACACCTTCCGCTCATTGTCTGCCAGACCACAGAAGCTACTCATTTAGGTTCTGCCTTAACGAGAAACATAGGACCCATGCCCTGGTATACCCGGCTGGAGAAGGTTCATAGATACTTAAAGCTTAGCCTGCACTTGGGGGATGCATCCCGAGCAAATGTCTCATTGGAGTAGTTGGGTTGGATATTAAGGATCTCTATGGGGATCTTGTAGCCTCCGCTCTACAGACATGAGCTGAAGTTCCTTGTGCCCAGATGGCTGGGCTTGGGCTGCATTGTCAGAAAAACGGACTAGGTCGGCTATGAGACCTTTCTATTTCTTAACTGCTGTTGGCTTGATGCTGACCTCGCTCGGACCACTGTCGCACAACCGGGAATCAAGGCCATCAGGGCTAGATTCGCAAGAGGTCTTAGGTGGTTGGATGCTTCTCTAGGTGCTTAGGGGCAACACTCGGTGGCATTCATACAGCTCCCACTTACACTGACATGCCCCAAAAGTCCCTTGGCCACCTGGGCACTGGGCACACAAAGCGGCTTAAGTCCTGATGGCACTGCAGCTCATGTTTAAACACTGGCAGGTTTGAAAAAAAAAAAAAATTGGCCTTTCCTCCTCTCTCACCTTTGGGGCCTGATTTGGTGGCCATGTCACAAAAAAGACAGCAAAGCAAGAGGACAAGATGGTTGTAGTGCCCTTTCTGTCCAAAAGCCATGTGGTTTTGGCACTCCTCTGAGAGAGGGAAGACCTGGGTTCGAATCTGTACCCCAATGCATGTTGAAATATTTCATATCCTATGGGAGGTCAAGCAGAACAGCTTCAAGAAGAAAGGATGATGGGAGCCTCTTGTCCTGGAATACCTTGCAGCCTGGTGGTTAGAGCAGTCACGTGGGGGACATGCCCTGAAGGTTAGGAAAGACTGGAAGCCCACAGCATCCATATGCAGGATGTGGGTTTAAGCTTTTCCACAGGGGTAGGTGGCGGGGGAGCTAGGAGGGGCTTGATCCTTGTTGTGGCAGTGCAGCCCAGGCCCCTTCCCCACCATCTGCCCCAAGGTCTTCATCCACCTGCCACAGGCAATGGCAGGGGCCTGAGGTCACCCACCATGGAGCCTGGGCTGCCAGCAGCTGCACCAAGGTCCACAGAGGCTCAACCTGGCTCACTGCCGGTGGCAGGTGGATCCCAGGCCGGCTATGGCAGGTGTGCATCCACCAGGCCGGCAATGGCAGGCAACCGGGAAGCTGCAAGCAGCTGCACTGGGACTCACGGAGCCCTGGCCTGGCTTAATGCTGGCGGCGTGCCTCGGGGCAGATGATGGGAAAAGGGCTGGGGCTGCACCACCACAACAAGGATCAGCTTTTTCAGGCTCTGGGCAGGCTCCTGCTGCCCACCATGGAGCGGGCACCTGCAAGTCACTGTACTGAGATCTGCAGAGCCCCAGCATTGCTTGTAGCTGGTGGCAGGTGCATGCACATCTCTGGGCAGACTGGGGGGGAGCTGCAACAGGTTTGATCCTTGTTGTGGTAGCGCAGCTCCAGCTCCTTCCTCGCCATCCACCCCAATGCACGTGTGCTTTGTGTGCCATGCTCTGGCATGTGTACCGGGATTGTTGACCCCTTCCCTAACCCGTAAGTGGAAGGGAGAAGGGCACTGTCTTTACCTCTCCAAGCCGTCCTTCATCAGAAAGGACAGACTTCTTGGTTTATTAAAGAATGGGCCTGGATATTTAAGTCCAAGAGCGTGTTCATGGCTGTGAATCCTAGGCAAAGAGCTAGGTACTTAAGTGTAGCTATCTCCTGCTGCAGAAGTGCGCTTTAGTCCTTACAATAGTTTTTAACATCTTGGATGCTTCCTTGTTGAAATTCCACGAGGGAGCACGCAGCAGAGTGCACATAATGTTTGAATGGGTTTGAATGAGTCCTCTTTCTTTGTCTCCTTTTAATCACATTAACATACATTCTCCAGTCATACACAACATTTTATTAAACTGTACAAACACCACTGACATTTTAAAAATTCATGTTAACACTCCTAATTAAACATGACGACCAGCTGCAAAAAGGTACGCACAAATTTCTCCTACATTTCATACAGCACAGACGACGACTTCTCAAGAGCCATTACACTAACATTACTGGCATATTTTTTTTTTTTTAACAACAGGATGCTTTTCTTTTCTATCTCAGACTTGTATGCTGCTGTTCATTCCTGTGCTATCTGAGTACCTATTTTACACATTGCAAGGACCATAATCACTACTAATGATACCCAGAAAGTAGTTCCACGTATAGAAAGTCTAAATTTCAAATGGAATGAGTCACTAAGATTACCCTGTCCTTCAAAACGCTAAATACAGAGCAAGAGCTTCAGTTGGCATAAACGAATGTAGCTCCATCAAAGTCAACAGAACTACACATAGCAGAGTATGTGGCTCCTTGTTTCTGCTTTGACATGATAACCAGACTAAATATTTCCATTAGACTGTCAGTGAAAAGCAGTAACTTAGTGGCATTAGATCTTCCTAACTTTCCATTTCTATCTCTTGAACAGCAAGTGATTAAATAGGACAAATGGTTTTGCAAATCTTAGAAGACAGAATAAATGGGTTTGTTTTTTTTCTAAAGGATTCCCGCTAAAATCTCATTACCGTGAAGATGTGCTTTTTTTTTTTTGCCCAGCTACATTTTGACAAACACAGAAATAGAATAAAATAGGTCAGCAACTTGTTGTTGCCACTGGGGAGACAATAATGTGCTGTATTGTACAAGGTAGAGGCTCATCTTGAGATGTGGTGTGCAGTTTTGTACCTGGATTGAGAGCTGTGCTGAATATCAAAGAGCAGGGACATAATTTACAGCTGTATAAATTTGGTGCAGTTTTTGAAAGTACTGAACACTTTCCTTCAAGTAAGTAACTACTGTGCAGTGAGCAGAGGCTCAATCTTGTAATCTGTAAATCACCGTTCAGGAAGATTATTATAGAAAATGAGGGAGGGAAGGGATCTCAGGAGGTCACATTTAGTCCAACCTCCTGCTCAAAGCAAGGGACATCCCCCAACTAGATCATCCCAGCCAAGGCTTTGTGTAGCTGGGTCTTAAAAACCTCCAAGGAAAAGATTTCCTTGCTATCCCTGACTGTATTGTAAAATGAAAAGTCTCACCCCAGAGGAAACAGGCCACATTTTACACTGAACACGGCACATGCTACAACAGAAGTTTTTAAGATTTAGATTTGAAGTCTAAGATGTATTTGGATACAAGTGTTGGAGTCTGCCCCTGCAAAGCTTTCCTGTCCCAAAGGGTTGTTTTTGTATATACAAATATTAATGTTTGCACTCGGGCACATTTTCTGGTTCAAAGTGTGTGGGCAGGTATTTTCTCATTACAAAAGTGCGTGGATGCGTGCGTACATCTTTGCACGTGCGCACGCGGAATCTGCAAAGGAGCCCAGTTGAAACGGTAGTTTGCTGAGATATCTCAGTCCTGCTGCTCACAACCCTCTCGCTGAGAGTTTTGCCTGAATATGAACTGCTGGACTGGGCACCAAAGTGGCAAATTTGAACAGTACAGCAAGGGCTGAAATGTGCTCGCCTTGCATGGGGAATTTTGCTGGCTACATGCATCAGTAAAGGGAGCAGGATCGGCTACCTACTCTTTTTCTAATGCCCTCAAATTCATGAATATTGAGAAAAGAGAGAGAGAGAGAGAGAGAGAGAGGGACCAAGATAGCTCACAAGAGACATGGTCATTAGTGAAATTTGGCTGGCATGTGCTACAGTCATAGAAGCAAGTGAACACCGACAAATGCTGTCTCAGCTGTCACCGGTGGGCTTTTCTCTCCTGGTTCTTGATCAAATCAGTCATGTTCTCAGTTGACAAAAGTGTTGCTCGAACCAGCTCACAGAATTCCTTTAACGAGGAAAGTGCTGGGTGAAGCAAACCTCAGGAAAGTATCCTCTCCATTTTAGGGTTCACAAATGAGAAGTTGCTGAACATATTTTGGTCCATGCTGTTAATCAGTGCTCTGTCGGCACACGACAGTCTAGGCTTTTCGTTCAGAAATTCCTTGTCGAAGTTGCTACAGTCACTGGGTGATTTCTTCAAGAAAGAATAAAGGAGTAAAAATAAAGTCATCTGTTGCGTTTTGGAGCATTTACCGTGAATCTAATCAAATCTAATGATATATGGGGTAAATTATATAACCTTGGTAATCCATGTATCTATTGCTATGGTATCAGTCACCTCTATATCGCCATCCTAACTTATTCTCCCACACTGTGGTGCTAATCACCTGAATATCATTGTGATACCCAGGCGTGCAGGCATACCAATTATACGGGAGACTTTGCAGCTCTGACCCCATAAATTCTATGACATGGGAATATTAGAGCCAGGGTTACCTCTTCCATAAAACAAGGCTGATTACATAAATGTGCCAATCAAATGTGCCAATTTAAAGAGTGTTTGCAAAAGACTCTGAAGTTTAAAAGCTCTTTATAGCTGCGGTTGTTATTATCAACAGCACGCAGTTCTCCCGAGTTCACAGCAGAGCTGGCAGATTGTCACTGGTGCTGAGAAGCAGAATCCCATGGAGCAGCAGAAGTTAGGGGTGACTTTTGAACATGGACACCTAATGCAAGGCCTTCACGGGGCTTTCATTTTCCTAACTGAGCTTCCAAATTGAAGGAACTCTGTCCAAGGTTTGGCCTGGTTTGCAGAACAGCTCAATGGGAAATGCATGCAAGAAATCGGTACAATGAACGCCTGGATTCTTAAAGGACTAAGAAGCCAGACTCCTATAGATCTGAATGTGGGGAAGGCACCTAAAATATCATGCCTAGGTATGGATCAAAGACCATTAGACATCAGATTAAAGTCCACAGGTCTAGACACCCAGCTGTTAACATTTTTGCCAGAGTGCCTGGCTAGTATTCTTGGAAATACTACTCTAAATGCCACAGGTGGTTTGCATACAGGCTCCTCTTGTCTGCTGCTGGCACTTGCTTTTGTGTCTGTGCTTTGGGAATAATGGAGCAAAAGGAAGGATCTGGTTTGGGGAATCAAAGGAGATTTGTCCTTACCACTCTGGGTTTGAAAGGTGGCTCCATCGCTCTGTCTTCTAGAGCTTCCCAGTTTATCTCCTGGAAGAAAGCATGCTGACGGATGTTCCCCTTCGTCCCCAATCTCCTCTCAGGTTCTCTCACAAAAAGCTGGAGGTCGACAGGGAGAAATACGTCACTCTTCTGATAATAACACTGTACCCCGGCACATTTCTGTGTGGGTGACCTAGTGCTGTCTAACACACGTAGGGTTAGGCAGCAAATCTGAGTCCAGACTTGAATCTTGTTGCTAGTGGCACTGATTCCATCATGTCAGGTTGGAACAACTTTGCTCCCACTTTCTTTCAGGGTGAGGCCAAACTCTGCGTCAGCACCCAAGTGGTGCCTTCAAAATGGGCACAGGCAAAAGTAAATGGACAATGATGTACTTAAAAAAGTGCACAATCATTTTGTACTGATTTTCAGAGATGCCTGTTTTGCAAATGTGTGCTTACTTGTGTGCTGGGGTGCAGTGACAGAGTGGTTAAGTGTCTTGCTGTAGCACCAGGCATGTGAGTTTAAGACTTGCTGTGGACTTATTCCGTGGACTGATCCTAGCTGACCCAGCTATAAATGGGTATTTGTGGTCTGCAAACTCACAGGTGGTCAGTTGTAATGCCTGCTAAGTCACTTCCTTGTGTGCTACTAGCTGTGGAAACTCATGCCCCTAACCACACTAACCTGATGGGCCCGTTGGCTTGGGTGGCCATTTGATTTTTTGGATTCTCTATGTTAGGAGAGAGAAAGCGTAAGGCATAACTGTTGGACAATGTAGCACTGAACAACTGGCCTGCTCAGAAGGCAGGTAGCTTACAGCATTCTTACACGTGTTTTCGGCATGGTGCCAGGTGCTTTAATTAGCGAGCCGCGCTAATTAAAAGCACCTGTGCATCATGTGCACATGTGTAGGAGCCCTTAGTTTTGTATTTTGCAGAGTTCCTTGGCTGAGAAAAAAATGCAGAGCCTTAAATTTAAGTCTGATAAAGACACAGCAAGGCTCCTTAGAGATCAGTCACTGCACATTGCATGCTGTCTTCCTTTCTCTCTTTTGTTGGCCTTCTTATTGTGATGCCCTAGGCCTGGCTTCCTTCCTTTCTCAAACTCATCTGTAAACACACCAGGCTCTTTTAGCTCAGATAAAGCGGTATTTCTGCACTGACCATGGCAGTGGTTCCCATGTGTTTTTTTTTTTTGGAAACCACGATACAACTTTATCATTACGCTTCTAGCTGTAGGGTGGTAAGACGCTTAAAAGCACATGGCACCCGCCCTCTCCCATTGGCCTCCACAAAAGGCAGAGTGGGAAACCTGGCCCCATGTGTGGATGCTGAAAATTTGGCCTTAAACCTGACATAGGCTTTCTGCACACTGGGCAGGACAGTGCCTTGTACATGCATGCTCTGTAACACATAAGTACATGGCTGCTGCTCAACAAATAATATATATCAGTAAGTAGCAGCTGGGTGAAATGATGGGAGGACGCAGCCCGACAACTTCTTTTTGAAAAGAAATGAGAGCTAGGTTATGATTGGTGTTCTGAGCAAGCCAGCCTAGCCCCTTCCCGGTGTTGAAAGGGAGACGGATGATATCCCTGTAATTTGGCAAGTCGACTCCCCTTTCCTAAATGATGGGTTTTCTACTAACGGTGCTAAAGAGCACAGAGTATTTAATGAAACACAGTCGGTGGTATTGAGAATGGCCAACAACTGGGTCGACTGTCTCTTCCCCCGAAACAGAAGTTCAGTGTTTGGCAATAATGAAGGTTGCCTTTCTGACATGACTGAATGTAAGTCTTGCAAAGGCTCCAGCTGTTTGTGCAGAAAGATGGTGTTTCATGCACAGAGAGAAACTTATTCAGGCCTTTGTAATTTCTACTGAGGTGCTATGAACTACTTGGGTAAGCATGTTCATTCTTCATTATTGATGTTCACTGTTTTCCAGGGACATGGGGAGAGCGGAGAAGTTGGGTGACAGTGTTGAGGGTGTGGGACTATCGCTCCACACGGATGAGTTCAGGCTCACACTAAAGACCATTTCCTGTTATCTCAACCACATCAGGTCATTCAGGTTAAGGAGACCAGCTATAAGCATTAAAGAGCCACAACTCCGCTGGCGTCTACTTACGTCACATCATTGACCGCAGAGGATTATGCTCATTTATACCGCTGGGGTATCCAGCCCAAGGCTCTTGACGCTTCCTGTGTTGTAGTTTTGGGCAAAGTAGCAAATAACTCGTGACTCAACAGTCAATCAAGGCACTTTTGATAATGAATCCTGTCTGTCATCTCACTGTGTGTGTGATGTGACAGGCACTTTGCAGCAGGAAAACTGCCTTCAGATACGTTTTTAAGAAAATCACCCTGCCTTTCAACTTAAAGGCTGACAGAGCAGTGGTTTCCATTTGCAGGAAATGGTTTATGGTTTGAGTTGCCTGCTAAAGTGGGGGTAAACTGGCCCAAGAATGACAGGTGTGTATCCAAGAGTTTCTCCCCTCTGGCAACACGCCTCTGCAACAGAAGGGTACCGCCTATTATTTCAGAGCCCTGTGGCCCAAGTCCTTGGATGTGAGAAGCACTGAGCACTACTCCGGAGAGGGTGGATAGAAACCTCAGCAATCAGGACTCGTGGTAGAGGAGATATATCTTTTATTAGACCAACTAGATTTTTGCAAAAAAAAATATTTTTGCAAAAATCTAGTTGGTCTAATAAAAGATATCTCCTGTACCACACGTCCTGATTGCTTTTGCCTCTAGACCAATATGGCTACAACCTGGATACCCCGATAGGAACACGGCTTTGGAGCAGGCCGTTGCATTTTGAGTTCCTCAGACAAACACAGTCTCTCTCTCCGCAGTACGAAAGATGTTTTTCTTCATATCGTTTAGAAGACACAGAAGTCAAGGGAGACATTAAGAGTTTGGTGTCATGATACCTATCCTGTAAGACCAGAAGTTCAGTTCCTTCTTACCTTTACTAAAATGTCTTTTGCGTTCTTGTCGAGCCAGCGAGGGTAGTATGGATTATCCATGCGGATGGACTGGAAAAGCTCCTCTTCATCTTGGCCGTGAAAAGGAGACTGACCAATCAACATCTCGTAAAGAAGGACGCCGAAGGACCACCAGTCAGCAGAATTGTTGTATTTCTGCCCGAGCAAAATCTGGTTTGGATGGAGATTGGGAAGAAGTGAGAAAGGCAGCGACTTGAATATTTGAACCTCAATGTAAGGATCAGTCCCACTGCACTGTTCTGCACTGCTTCAGGACAGCTGTAATGCTGGTTTTCCCACTAATTGATGGTTTTTCCGAAGCTATCTGTGGATGACACACAATCATCTTAATGGTTCTTGCACTACCCTTCTTCACAGCTACCAATGCCAGGAATGTGGTCAGGATGACTCTTAGTTGCAGCCATCCCAGGTTGCCCAAATAATCCTTTTGGGCTGTACACAACTAATTGTAAATCAGAGCCCTCTCAAGACAACCTTAACTAGTTATTGGCCAATAATGGGATCAAGAGCATAAAGGATACATAAAGCAACTTGGCCTTGCCCCTTATGCTCAACCCGCACCAAATCCAGCCTGGACATAGCTCAATATTTGGGTTCAGAAGCAGCTGTGCCATTGTGGGTAAATCTCTCTGCTCCTCAATTTCCTCACCTACAAAAAAAGATCCCTACTAACCTTTGAAATCTAGGCACAAAAACAGCTCAGTGAAAGTGCTGAGTCTTATTTTACTCTGAAGTTTACTTTCCTGAAACAGCAGAATACCACTACAGTGAAATTTATTGCAGAAGAGGTGTTCACATGGATAGCAGTTAAAGACGTGCCAAAGTTACCTTATAAACCCTGCTGTTTACTGTGTTAGAAGTAATAAAAATGGCTCTGAACTGCTGAGCTGAAACCATATCAGCCCTTAATTCTTTTGCAAAATTCACAGGAAGAAAGAAAAATCAACCCGGGATTGTGAAGTCTGCACTGCTTAAAGAAAACCCTAGTTTACTGCTTAGCATTTGGGGACATATTTAAGTCATCAGGGTTGCATGAATTTGGCAACCATAACAGTGGTCCTCCAGCTATACTCTGTGGACTTCCTGCAGGGAGTTCACAGACAGCATGTCAGATAATGCTGCTATCTCCATCCCTTCACCTGCTGATGCTGTAGGTTTGTTTTTCATCATAAATAAAAGTTGGAAGGCCAGTAGGAACCGCAGGAGGGAAGAAGGAAGGAACAAGTGTCACCGCCTGTGATGTGACTGCTGCAATTCCCATAGGGATTTTGTGCAATTGCAAGTGGGATCTTTACCGGGATCTTTAATCACACGAAAGCGGGAGAGGAAACCATTAGATTATAGGCCTGATGCTCCACGCTGGTTGAGGATTCCTCTCTGCTAAAAAATATCCCCAGTAGAGGGGAGTTTTCTGCAACATGAGCAATATAAAGGTGTCGGTACTGGACAGACTGGTCTCAAGTGAGACATGCTGGGAATTGTGAAAAAAACCGAGATTCCAGATCTTCAGCGCCGGCTGCTAGCATCTAACATCCCGAGAGATCAAAATCAAATTGGCTAAAAGGTTCAAGCTTAAAAATGAAAGGACGTGAACAGTGTCCATAAGCCTCTATTATTGTCTGCTGGGTTTTAGCAAGTTCATTTGTTGTTTTGATGTTGCTCTGATTACATTGATATACAACCGATGGGAAAGCTGCCTGTCCACTGAAAGTACAAGTCAGCCTGTAGCCTCTATCTGTCATAACCCCTCACTGAGTCACTCCATTTCAACCTGCTCCTTACTGCTTCCAAGGGTATTTTTGCTTCACAGCTGACAGTGTATCTAATAGCCTGTTTGCAATGATGATTCAGAGGCTTTCTGGTCCAAACAATACTTACGCAAACAGGACTCCATTTCCAAAGAAGAAGGAGGTAAAAAAAATACCACATGCTAAGTCATTTTAATGGTTTAGATGTGTTTGAAGCAGCAGGATGGAAGTGAAACTTTTTCTAAGCTCCACATATACTTCTACAAGTTGTTCTCTGGTGTAGTGGAAGCCCTCTAATGGCTTGGCTTAGAGGGCTAATGGTTGGAAGCCAATTAATTGAGGGTTAATGGGTTGGAAGCATTTCCCAACCCGTGGGTTGCAAGAATATATGGAAGGGTTGCGAACAAACTTTAAAAATGGATTTTCCTTTTAAACATGGGAAACTGTGGGTTTCTCTTGTAGGGTGGCAGAGCTCCAGTCTGCAAGGGCCTGCTTGGGGCTCCCCCTGCCCCACACACTGGAGGGGTTGAGGCCTGGGGGGCAGCGGATCGGGAGTGAGGGACACTGGGTCGGGACTGGCCATCGATGTTTACAAATGGGTCCTGGAACGAAAAAAGGTTGAGAATTGCTGCTCCAAGTTGCACGGTACAACAGGGATTTCACTCAACTATAAATAGTGCATTCATTGAGCTTTTCATTGCTGGAAACTGCATGGACTCAGGGATGTAGCTGAGAATGAAATGATCCTTTCCTTGAGATCAGTCTGAGCATTAAAAATAAAGCCCCATCCCCACCAACTTTGGCTAGAACAACAATTGTTGTAAGTCAATCAGAAGGTTAAACAGGGCTGAAGTTACACGTTACACATAGACCACATTCGATTTGTGGAACGTTAAGTGGTGGTAAAGTTAGAGCATGCTGTGAGCAATCGTATGTTAAGGGTTAATACTGCTTCTAGGCTATACCGCTCGAACTGGCGCTAGGGCTAGAGACAGAAATTACACATAAACTGATATAAGTGATCTGAAACTGGTTCAAAGCTGTAACATGACAGAAGTTCAGTGCACATAAACCGCTTTCGGAATGGCCAAAACTGGTTTAAAATAAACCTGGATGGGTGTAGTATCAGACTTAACTGATTTACATTAAATTGCTCTATTGAACTTCTGTCCCAGATCTAGAGGGCTGGGGAACAGGGGAATTGGGTAGGAGCCAGGATATTTGGGCTCTATCCCTGCTCTAGGTGGTGGGGGTAGTGGTGGAGGGGTCTGGCAGCAATGTATCTTGGGATGTGGGAGGACTGTAAATTGCTCATTTTATCTCCATGGAGCAGGTTGAAGTTACTCTAACACAAGCTAGGGAGCAAAGCCCAGAGTTAACCCTTGCTCAAAGTGGCATAACTTTTAGATGTGCACAGGGCTCTTAGGATGAGTTAATGAGCTTTAACGTGCAGATGCTCATGCTTTAAGTGCTATTAGGATGGTCTAAATCAGGGATGGGCAAAATATGGCCCATGAGTCAGATCTGGCCTGCAGGGCCTCTCCGTGAGCACTCTGTAAGCCCTGGCCCTCACTACTCCTCTGCAAACCAATATCTCCATGCAGAAAGTGCAGCTCTGGTTGCTACCACCCCCAACCGCCAGGCCTGGCCTGACCCACCCCAGCCCCAAGCTAGAGGTACCGGAGATGAGAAGCCTCTACCTGGCACAGTTTGCGCCTGGTCCCCTGAGGCTGTTCCCAGCCTCCAAGCCTGTGAGAGTGGGAAATCGGGTATGGCCTCACCAGGTTGGGAGCCAGGGACTCCCGCTGGGGGAAATGGGGCCAGGAACATGGGAAGCCCCATACTGAGGGGTTGAGAAGGGCTGGCCCCACACGCTGCAGGAGCTGTACGCTATGGGGTCCGGTAGGGCTGGCTCTGCATGCTGCTACCACATGTGGCTGGGGATTGGGGTGGGAGCATGGGAGCTGGAGCTATGGGGCTGGATGGGGCTGGCCCCACTCACTGCTGCCACATGTGGCCGGGGACCTGGGGGGGAGCGCTATTGGGACAGGTGGGGCTGGCTCTACATGCTACCGCTATGTGCAGCCAAGGACTGGGGCAGGAGCTGTGTGTTATGGCACTGGGTGGGGCTGGCCCTGCATGCTGCCACCACCTGTGGCCAGGGACTGTGGTGGGAATACAGGGAGCTGTGCGCTATGGGGCCACATACAGGTGCAGGGACTCGTATACTTTGGGGACTCCAAGGGCCCCCCCACCACACCCCCCTCATATACCCCACTCACCACCATACCCCCAAACACACCCACACCCTCCCACAGCCCCCACACATACTCCACCTCCCCATCCCCCACCATACCAACACACACCCTTACACTCTCCCACACACCCTCAGCCCACCACATTCCCCACACCCATATCCCTCCATACTCACCCTTCCTCACATGACCCATCCACCATACCAGTACCCTACACCCCACCATGCTCATTCCCCAAACACCTCCCCCACATACACCCTCTCACCCTCCCCCCCAATATACAAGAGTAAGGCTGTATTTTGAGCAATTATGCAATCACCTCTAGATACACTACGCAAACACACACAAATCAAGACAAAAACCTTTTTTTTACAAAAAATTAAAATGTTATAGCAGATGTTTTTTTTTTGTTTTTTTTTTTAAGTATATGATTTGTTGTTTTTTTGGTTTCAAGATGGCAATCCCTGACTCCTTCCAAAAGGAGCACTTCCAGAGCAAGGAGAGGAACTTTTAGTGGCAAATATCAGGGGTTAATGGGAGGGACTTCTGGTCCCAAGATGGTGACCAGGGGGACGGGGCACCTGTCTAGGGGTGGGGCTACCCTTGTGGCCCTCGATAGCTCAAGAAAACTCATTAAGCAGCCCTTCAGGTTCAATAATTGCTCACCCATGGTCTAAGTGTTATGTGTAACTTCACCCTTAGAATGGCCATGAATGGGAACACTCATTAAGGTGGCAAAGTCGAGCCTGAGGACTCACTGGCATTTCTCAGATGGATTGTAATGGCTCCATCCTGCAGACCTTAAGGCATATTTATTATTGTGGTCAATGAAATGGGAGAACATAAGACTCAAAGACCAAGTTTGATATCTGGATCTGACACATCTCTGGGAATTTTGCCTGAGTCAGACTGCTGAGCTGGACTAGGTTCAACATGTACTGGTCAAGCCGGTAGGCGAAATCCCTAAGAGGAACATTGGGGGTGATCCAGAACTCCTCTGGGGCTTCTGTGCCAACTGTATCATTGCTGTCAGGGGCCAACATGCTTTTCTAGAGGAGCCTGGCCAGGCCAGCTGTCTGCCATGTTAATACTGGCTTCTGTTGCCAGCTTTGGCCTTTGTCAAAGGGCCAAGGCCAAGCTGCAGAAG